CGTACCGGTATTTTCGGTAAGGTATTGAAGTCCGTACCGAACGTACCGAACACTTCGGCAAGGTATTCAAGTCCATACCGAACGTACCGAACATCTCGGTCCGGTATTCCGGAGGTATAATACCGCTGGTACGCCTCGGTATGTACCTTACCAAACACNTCGTACCAAACACGCCCTTGGAACGTACCGGTATTTTCGGTAAGGTATTGAAGTCCGTACCGGTATTTTCGGTAAGGTATTGAAGTCCGTACCGAACGTACCGAACATCTCGGTCCGGTATTCCGGAGGTATAATACCGCTGGTACGCCTCGGTATGTACCTTACCAAACACACCCTTGGTAAAAAGGTTCGCACTTTTTTACACCTTGAAGGCCACCCTGGCTAGGGTAGTGTCCATAACCCTACTACCCACAAGGAAGGGACGACAAAATGCCGTAGCGCTCAACTTGACTGCGGGGACCCCAACATCGAGCTTATATCAAGAATAGTCTCTCTTTCCATCGCAGAAAGACGTGCAAGAACGATTGTAGTCTTTCAGGACTCATACCGAGCCACTTCGACGTCTTCGAGGCACGGCTTACAAATACTGTTCGTTGTTGCCCCAACCGGCGGGGGGTCCGAGGACGGGTTTGGATGGTAGTGACCTTCCGCCAAGAGTGTTACCTTCCACCCATTCACTGTCAGTTGCGGATGCGCTCTGGTATGTCGTTCTAACACTCTGCCGAGCTGTAGGTCTTGAACCTCCGCCCTCGGGCCTACGGTCTCAGCTCGTATGAGAGCGCCGCCAATTTTGCTCTGGGTCTTGGCGTCGCCGTCCTTGCTCGTCATCTTCACCCCGGCCTCGTACTCGTCCGCCGTCCAGCCCTACCGGTTACATGGAGGAGAAATGAATGATTCAACAGTAACTGATGGCCACGCTAGTGGTGTGAAGCTATCGGTGATTTAATTTGAGCCTAGGGCGAAGTATGGAATTGCAAGAAGGAAACCACACGCCCAAGGTTGAATGCTCGCGTTTGGGTGATTTTGGAAATCGCTGCTCTGGTTCTTGCCTTGTGGGAAGGTACAACTCGGGCTCATTCTTGGGGGGTACGAAACAACGAAAATTATGAAGTACGATGATAAGGAGAAGTTCGCGGTGCAAGTCTGTGGATACACAGGTGGTTAGGGGAGATCGAAGTTTCTCCCACAGGGTTGGCATGTTCACTGATTGCATTGATGGTCGATTTCGATATTCGGAGGCATGAGTACAAGGAGAGGCACCAGCTGCTCTCCAGCTGCAACCGACTCACTGAACACGTTACAGCTTTAGAAAGGACTGATGTGAGAAGATTCGAACACGAATTGCTCCCCTCCAAATACTACTGCTGCGCCCTCCACCCCTCTCCTCACAAACGCTTGGTTCCTTCGTGTCTCAGACAAAAGTTTTGATCATATGTACAACGGCGGTGGTGTCATGCGCGTGCCAGTCAATCGGAGCTTCACCGCTGCAAGAAAATGTCAACAGACACCTGTAGGCATCTTTCAAGTGGGCATGATCGACCCTCAAACTAAGCCCACTCCCATCCTTTCCCCTGGACCACAAACGACCAAGCGTAGAATTATTCCACATGTCAAGTCGTGTACACTTTCACAGTACGAATGACCGATCAGACGCGAAGGTCTGAGCCGGTTCCGATGACGACAATACCAGCGTTTGTCCGCAGGGCTGTCAACAGATCTCTTTTTTTCAGCCCCTCTACGGCTGAAAGGGTCAAGGTAAAAATGTTATGTGAGAAGGAGATGCTTTTCAAGTGTCGGCTACCCCCAACCACATGAAGCACCTGGTTTTCAGCGTACCCCCTCTGCTAGAAATGGGACACCGCTATCAATACAAACAGAGGTGACACGGACAAGGACAACGGAAAGTGCGTGCCCTCGCCCCCCCCCCCGATGTATCGCCCTAGGCGGACATGACGTAGAGTGACCAAGAGGGCTGACTTTCTGTCACTTGTGACCAGATTTATCACGACCTATATGCAACTGAAATTCGATCGAAATGACATCCTTCTGCCCGCACAGCTCCAAAAGCAAAACATTCTCTCTTGGGTGGTTGTTGTCTTGGCGTTGCAAATCGTTCCGATCGCTGCTCGGTACTTGCTAACATCGCTACAGGTTCAACTGACGCGGATGCCTTCCGTGGTAACAGGGCACTGATCGATTCCTAGAAACACCGCGTTGGTCTGCCTCCGTCAGGTCACCTGCTTCTCGACGGCGAGAAGCGGAAACCTAGGGGTGCTGCAACATGGGGGGCATTTCTACACGTGTAGTCATCGCCAGGAGCATCGAGGTCTCGAGAGACGGAGTTTCCGATGGAAACGACTCACGATCATAGCACAAGCTCCAGGAGGTATGTTCAAACGGAGACGAATGTCACTAAAACAGAGCGGAATGGGGTACCTACAGCAACCCCCGCGGGGAAACTACAGCTAGCTGACGGCGTGTTGTCACGGAGCTTCTCAACCACTCGCCTCTCCCTTTTGAAGCTCGCGCTGTACCAGGCTACGTATTGCTGGAAAAACGTCGAAGCCAACTCCTTGTGGACGCCCGCCTCGAACTCCTCCTCGTTCCACCCGTATTCAGCCAGCAGTTCCTTGTGCTCCTTCCTGGAGATCACGTACAGCTCTCGCGGTATCTGCAAGAAGAGCACGCACAATGGGGGGAGCCCGGAAGAACAATGTTCAGCTTCAGCGACGCTTTCTTCGGTAGACAGCGCTGCCGCTCAATAGAGCTCGTCCGTTGGAGTACCAGGAACTTGGATGCTTAGACCAATGGGGCGGCAGTCGAATTCTTGTGAAGGGCAAAGGGTTGTCAGCAACTCCCTCGTTGCAGGCATGGAGCTATTTTAAGTACGTCGAAGGAAGCATGGTATCTTGCGCGTTCTAAACGACTCTCATGTATCGTATAGTAAGGATGAGTGTCTCGGGACCCGCCGATCTGTTTATAAGCAACACGATTGTAGGAGCGATTCCCTGAGCTCGAAGCTCTGTTGCTGCCTCTGTTCCGCTGTAGCTATTGTTGTTGTTGTTATTGTTGTTGTTGTTGTTGATACCGTTGCCGTTGTCGCCTTTGTATTGACGTGAAAAAGTGACTCTACCCTCCACCCAGTGAACGTCTCCTTCTTCATCTAATTCTTGCTCTTCGAGGCAAACAAACAAACGAACCGCCGGGGTCACAAGCTGACCCTACGAACGAAAGAAAATGATTATAACACCAACGTGTTTCGGCAACCCCCCAACCAAGAGGCTGGAACTAATGCCAAAACAGGGTATGGGGTGGCTTTGGAAATATCTCGTGGAGACCTAGCTGTCGACCAAAACCTTTTTTTTTTCGGTCCGTCTGTCTGTTTCATTTTAATTCGCATACCCCTCCCCTTGACCCATCGGGGTCTCAAAAGCCGATCTCAGCCTACACTGCAAACCTTGGAGAACTACCACCACTTGTGTGATGAGAAGATTTCGAGATCGGGTTTCGCAGGAGCCTCCATGTGGTGGACTTATCGACCCCTGTACTAGGGACCCAACACACGTGTCTGAGAGATCGCCTGCTAACGTTTACGGTAGAACCAAGCTCGACACAGGCCGCATCACCTTTTCAGCTCTCGCTTCTTGCCCGGCTCAACCATGCCACCCCCGAGAGCCTCCACGAGCAAGAACCGGTAGCGCTCCTTCTCCGCGCTTCCGGCCGGCTCGAAGCCAAACTCTTGCGCCGTGCGCTCGTTGCCGTTGCCGTTGTCAGAAGACTCCTCGAAGTAGTTGTCGGCGGGCATGCCGGCCTTGTAGATCTCGGCTGCCCAGGCCCTCCCGCCAATTTCGTACTCGTCCGCTGTCCAGTCCTGACGGCGACGAAGCCGTCGCGAGTCGAGGAAGGGGGGTGTAATACACCGATGAATGCGAAATGGAGGGGAAGTTGGGGAGTGGGAAATGTAGTCATTCATCGCTGGCCATGCATACCTGTTTCGATGGACCACTGCGTTCTAGTTCTTATTCTGGTGTGGAGAAAGGGGTCTTGGCACCCACTGTTACAGTTGTTGCTGCTGCTGCTGCTTTGGGCTCGGGATGTTAGCGGCCGTAGCAGCCTTCTCTTCCCCGTTCTCGGGGCCACTCGTCGTCATGGCACACACAAGCACGCGCGTCGAGCGTCGAGAGGACATACGGGCGCGTCACCATCGCGTTAGGCGCCACGACGCGAACACAAGTCTGCAATGAACGTCTCAACCGAGTTACACACCTGCTTCTCGATGGCCAAGAGGTGCTCCTGGACGTCGATGCCGGCTTGAGAGCGGAACTTCCGCAAGTTCGACCGCGCCTCCGCCTTGACCTGGCCAATCAGCACACGACCAAACACACACACATTCACAAACGCAGGATATGGGTTACTTTGGATGTGTACTGTACGGAGTTCATGCGATAGTTGACGACAATGGCAATGCCTCAAGGCACAAGTATCGACCCATTCCCTCGCACAAGGAGGAGAGGCATTATCGTCATCATCACCGTTGCCACCATCATCATCGGTGTCATCGCTGTCACAGCGGCCACCACGATCATCATCAGCAGCAACTCGATCAAAGTTAGTACCATCGTCGTCGTCATTCCCATGATCAACAACAACCATCTTCGCAATACTGTACTGTTAAGAGACTATTTCCTTGTCAAGCTTTACGATGGCCGAAGGTCACCCCCACAACCAGGAACACACGGTAGCTAAGGCCCGTGCTGAACAAGCGAATGACGCTGGAGCATCTTCCTTGGGAACAACGTCAATCCCACCGCGACATCGCCACTGCAAGAAACCTAAATGCCATCTCAGCGCATGTTCACGGGTATGCCGAGGACCTCGCCCACGAACTATTTGCTTACACAAACCTTTCCCGCTCAATCACGAAGGGAAATCAGTCTGACACAACACGTGAGATAGGCCGACACCGACGCAAACGGCCACAATGACGGAGGACAATATGCGTCAGTTGGTATCATGATCGTGTCGTAGGTGTCCGACCGGGGCTCATCTCACCTCTCCCGTGTCAAGCTCGCACTTGAGCAAGGCCTCGTACTTGAGGAAGTTCTCCTTCGACATGTCCTTCGGGGCAGCGAGTTCCTGAAAACCCGCTTCGAACTCTTCCTCAGTCCAGCCGTGCTCCTTCAGTCGTTCTCTGTGCTCCGCAGCCGAAACGCGGTGCCCCCCGCGGTACCTGTCTCAAGTGTGCACGACTGAGTACGTGGAGATTGACGACCGGGTTGAGAAAATTCCAGGAAAATGAGAGCGGGTCATTCGCACGGGGGTTATTCCGTAGGAATTTCGACCTCCACCAGGTAAAAATTATTGTACCGTGGGAGGTGGGCGACCGCACGCGAGTGTTGCGTGCGATCTGCTTTTTTGATCGATTGCTCCGCAAACGAGAGGGTGCAACACCCGATCGACACGGGCAAAGAAAAGCTCATCATCCTCCGCGTGTGATAAAATCCTGCTGGTCACGACAAGGGGTAACCCACTCATCTCGTTTGTGAGCGATCCTTCACAAAGAAACAATCTGTACAGAAACACAGATAGGCCTGATAACACTGCGATTCCGTCGAGAAATTTTTCTTCTGGATGTCTGTCTGCGAAAAAGATGAACTCGTAATGTTTCTCGAAGCGAAGCGAACGCAAACACGAGTACCCAAAAGTTTCGATAAATTCGGCGACATAATGTGGTCACAAGGATGCCATCAGTAGAAAACGAGCCAGCAGACCTCCTCCTGTGACATGCGTTCCAACGAAAACAATCTCTTACGTATATTTTCATCCGCCGAAACACTACCCATGTTACGTCGAGTCAGTGCTGTTGTTCACGTCTGCAAGTTCCTCCTCTCAGTGGAGGTGACCCACCCTCCGTCCAAGGCCTTGGCGAGCAATTGCCGGTAATGTCCCTTGTGATCCCGAGACTGATTGACCTTGTTCACAAGGTCAACCGATATGGCCTTTTGGAGAGACGCGCCTATCATGGGCCGGCGTTTGACGAACTCGCGGAGGACGTGCATGTCCCATACATAGGCTACAACCTGCATCGTTGGCGCCACGCCATGCAAGGAAAAGGAAGGGGATAATAAGACAAGGACAAAGAAAGGCGTGGCGAACGACAGGGGTGTGTTGTGGTTCAGAGTAGCATGGGAACAGGGAAGAGCGTGTCTGGCGTCGCCGTCGCGTGATGGATGAGTTTCGCATGCATCGCATGGAGTACGCCCGTCATCTCCACAGAAGAGTTGGTACCGGTAACAGGCTTTACAGAACATAGCGCACTCGTCTCTGAACAGGTGTCACCCGTATCCACTGATTGGTCTAGCGGAATCCGCGAAAAAGTATCAGTATTGAGGTAAAGCACGTCGGGGGGCGTGGGCGGGGTTAAGAGAGGCAGTCCGAACAATAGATGTTGGCACACCCAACACATCGGAAAATATCTCAAGAAAGTTGTTTGGTTGCGCCATACAGCAACGGCCGACTCACGTCAGAGGTAGCTGTGATAGTGTTGCTTGAGCGCTCCATGCCTGACATGTCCTGCCGTCTGCTGGTGTTGTCCCCCACGAAGGTCTGGCCCACCTCTCCCACGATAGAGCCCTGCTTTCGCACCTGATACAGAAATGCCTCCCACGCCTGCGTGAAGATGTCTCCTTCCCTGTATTCAGTGTCGCCTTCTCCGTCCTTCTTGGTAGAATTCGGAGATGGCGACTTGATGAATCTGTTGAAAGCCATAGACCCGACGAACCCCCCCGACGCGAGGTGACACACCACTACACCTTCAGACTTGACCTATTTTCGAAGGAAAGAGAATCACAGGGATAAACGGAACACAAAAGCTGTCGACACGTGTCGCTAGGCCTCACGCGGGTTTGATAGACACCCCTCACGGCCTTCTCTTTTGACATGTTGGCTGCCTTGTGTGCTGGTATCCCTTCATGATCTGGCCTTTGCTCCCGCTCTTCTTACCCTTGCACTTTTTGGGTTGCTGTAGCTGCGGTCGTTCACGGACACACCGCCGTGAGGATCTACAGACTACAAGCTTGTGCAAAACAAGGGAACTCTTTGCTCGTGCACACGCCTCGGCAGTGCGCTCAACGATGAGGAACACTTCCTCGTGCGGTCTGCCCTCCTTGTTGAGATCGTTTCCCTTGAGCATCACACGGCGCTCCGCGACGTCCAAGAGCCGCAAGAAATGCACGGGGCTTAGCTGGGCCGGCATGAAAATCTCTCGGAAGATCCTCGCCTTCTCGCCGGACAATTTGAGTTGATGGGATTGAGCCGGTTGAACAAGTCGTTGGTGGCGAGAGGGGGACCGAAGATTGGCAAAGGAAATAAACGTAGGTGGGAATAGAAACGTCACGCCATTTCCGTATAGTCTGCCCAGCACTGTCTGGCAGCCGTACCGCTTGCAAGGTGTGTGTAATGTCGAGTGGTCGATCTGTTAGCTGTCTGCTCTGGTCCGCTTCACTGATATCTTCGCAGCTTCTTCCCGTGTGCCATCTGTGTGTAACCCCACTCCATCTGTTAGTGTACATTGGGGTGTCATTTTCCCTAGATCTCCGTGTTGCCTATTGATGGAGGTATCACCCAAAGAACACCGCCGCGGGGGCTAAATCTTGTCCCTGAGTTCGTAGGGCGAGATCCTTTTCGCACCATGAGTAGAAACACATCCGTCACCGTGCTCTATTACGAACGATGCGGCATCGGGGGGGTTTCAATGCTTCAAGACGGCAGCAACGTAGTGCCCAGTCTGTTCCACGTAATATGTACATCGGTGGGAAAAGGAGCGGCATTGCAGTGTACATGCAGCGTACAAAAGTAGCGTACAAACCTGTTCGGGGTCCTTGCCGAGTTCCTCTGCTTCTCCTCTCTCGTTCATCAGCAGCAACACCATCACGGCGTTGAGCGCCAGGAAGCCGACGTTCCACTTGATGGGGATCCACACTGGGGGCCCCACAACCCGAAACATGTTGAACATGATGTTCAGGGTGGAGCCACTCAGCACTAGGACCCTGCAATACGCGAGGACGTATATGGTTTGGACGCCCAAAAGCGATGTTCAGCAAGAGCAGCCATACCTTATATCCTGAGAGCGAAGCCAATTTCGTTTCTTTGCCACCAAAAGCTTTGACAAGCTTCACCCCCTATTGTAGGATAGGTTCGAAGTTCACTCACTGTATAGGATGGTTTCAAGCCTGGTGGTAGTTTGTCGTCACACGAGCAGCTATACTCTTGCCACATTACCCTAGAACCAACCACCTTTCCGTTGTGGGAAACAAGGTTCACATAAGGGAGGTTTCTTCGCCACCCACCCGATATTTACGTCGCCGACACTCTTGTCTGTTTGATCACCACAGCTTCCTACGCTGACTGCCTTCGGTTTCACTCTTAACCTGTAGACCCCTTGTGTCGATCGAATACGGTGACAAACGCCGGGCCGGCGAAAGCGACCGCCAACGCGGTGTGGTCTTGCATGACTCTCCTTGCTCGGGTTTCTCTTCGCTCCGAGCTCGAGCACGAGTTTCTACCGTCATGAAGTTGAAACAAACTAAAGTCCGCACCATCATCTAAGGATCTCTTTCTTTTCCCGAGTGCTCGCTTCTTATTTTCTCTCTCGGGTAGTCCACCAGGAAATGACTACATTTCCTGAATATCGGCTGTAGTGTAGAGTTTCTACAGTCGTGGGAGCCTGTTCTAAGGTCCAAACCATGCTCTTCAAATATGATCTTGATCGAGCCTCATCTCTGAACTCCCAGCTTTTCAAGTGGTGGCGCGCACTGAATGTTTGTTGCCACGACCCGCCATGTATTGTGTTACAAGAGGGACGCTCCCAAAAACACATTCCCTCCATATGCTGAGATCCAGGGAGTAGTCTACGGTCTATCTAGATGCAGCAGCGCATTAGCAAATGTTGATTGAAGCACACACTGTGAGTGAAGAAGACTTCAAGCTCAAGTAGCGCCTGCGGTGCAAGAACATCGTTTTCAAGCACATATGCATAGTCTGTATGCCGTTCAAGCAGAGGTTCGCGGGGACTCCGGTAAGTAGTTGTTATGAAGTGAGGTAGTCTAGTCTACAGTCTTAGACTATCTAACGTTGTTAAGCAGTTCTTCCGATGCGCTGCAAATCGCGCAGACGCGGAAGAGGGAGGGCACTCGACTACTGCCTCCAACGGGGGACCCTACTCGTTGTTGAAGCGTCATGAGACTGCGCATGATCTCGCACCTTAGCGCCAAGACGTCCGTTTCCAGGTAAGCGGCCGTGAGCATTGCGAAACTGAGATGTCTACACAGGGAGCCGGCGTTAGTTACAGTGCTGATGCCCAAGAACTCGAGTGGGCGTCGGTCCTTAATCATGATGTGATGGAGCATGTCCATCAGGGGTTGGAATGGCGCCGGTACCCTCGGCACCATTGTCACCAGCGGGGCAGAAGGCACCACCGCGCTGGCAGCGATCGCCCTTCCTGGTGCAAGCCGGGGGGTGGGGCCAGCGGCAGCGGGATATCTCGCGCAGCCGGCGCCTTGACGAGACCTGGCCGACAAGGCCGACCCACTTGTTCGCTTCAACGCCCCGCCAGTGCTTCCTTGAGCCACGGCGCGGCTCAAGCGTACTCTCCCAAAGAAGCTCATGACTTCGCTGCAGGCAGCGGTTGCAGATCCCTACCGCCACCACCGTCACGCTACGCAGCGGCGAGTCCATGCGCTGACTATCTCTTGGGCATGAACTCGTTGAACCGTCGACTCAAAGCTGTGCCGAGCTGTAGCAGGGAAGAGGAGTGCATGTAGACTAGACTATGGTGACAAGTCTCTACAACTGTAGTTGGTCTTTTTGCAGAAGCCAAGCAGGGACCAGCGAGAAACGGGCACACGTCTCATGTGTACGCGTGCATGCGATGGTGGTGCGTTCTCCGGAGTGCCTGCTGTTGTGCGGAACTGCTGCGGTGCTTCTGCGCACCAACGGTGGGTAGTTTTGTGTTTTGTTTTTGTCCCGCCCATAGTGTAATTGGCCAGGATGTCGAAGGTTTGACAGTCCGGCGAAACATGAAACATTTAAACCCGTTGGAGTACCACTGCTGTAGGCTTGGCACACGTGTATCTGGTGCCCACCTCTGCACAAGTTAGTTGCAGAGTATCCCTAGGAACATAAACATTTCAGCGTTGATACCTTTTCTCGAGGAGGGGTTGGGAGGAAGGTACACACGTACTGCTGTAGATAGATCGCAAGGAGCTTGGCGGCTACAACGGCGGCTACAATAGAAAAAAGTGAAAACCGGACGAGGCGTTGTGCACACTCGCGGAACACTTGCTTGCGACTTTCACTTTTTCCGGAGCAAATATATCGCCTATACCTAGTACTACACAAGGTCGGGCGGTGTACGGATGTGGTGATGCACTTTCCCCTCGCCATTGCTTCGCCCGCGTCCAATGTCATCGGTGCATGCCCATAGGATCGAATCTGTCATCAATTTCAAGATCGTGTTGCATCTCGAGGGTACAGGTGGTTGTACCAATGAACTCCCAGGTCCAGGAGACAATCGCCATCATCGCAACCATTTTTGGAGCTACAAGAGGCGCCATATGCACTGCAGACACTATCGCACGCCAGTTTTGAGCTTCAACACCTACCATACGAGGCGCTGTCTCACGCTGCGCAAGCACCGTATCGTATCGGTCTCGCAGAAAACATGTCGGCCGCCCGTTCTCGTACAGTACATATGTAGTACCAACAGGATGGGCTGTTCCACACTTTAACAAGGTGGCATCCCTCTACATGCGCTCAGTACGTTTGTCGCAGCGGCGTTGATGCCAGAAATGGTGTTGCATGGCCCATTCTAAGAGGTGACACCGCCCGTATAAAGTGAGTAGAACGAGGGGTTTGGATTAACAGCACGTGAGGGTTAATTTGTGATTTCTTGCGGGCAAAGCGTAAGTGCAGGAAGACAACAACACCCACTAAATCGAAGGGCAAGACGGCAACCACCAAAGTGACCCACTCTACGGCCATGGTCAGGGAGAAGCAGACCTCAAGTTGAAACAAAAACACCAACAAAAAATATCGCTGTCCCTCTACATGGAATTAAACCGTGTGAAAAGTAGCTCACAACGAGACCAGAGCACTCACTCGCTACTATCCGCCCTTGCTTACAATCAGCGTTCACCTCTGGCTCTACAAGGCCTCACAGCTAAAGGCGGGAGCAGTGCACCACCACCGCCACTGGAGTATTCAACCAGGTACATTTACAGCACTTGGCCATGCTGTGTAGCTCAGCTTCTTGTGGAGTCTCCTTCCCTCTAATAAACATCTAAACATATCACAACGCACCAACAACAAGCTATCTATCGTTAGATCAAACCTGTAGCTCTCGAACAATGTTCTAAGAATATGGGGTTCTTCCGCGTGACGTGAGGGGCACCTCACTTCCATGCCCAACCTCGCTCCGCTGAACACATAACCTACAGTATCTCGGAAAATGGGAGGTGCAAAAGTGCATCCCTATGGACGTGCGCACGCATTTTGCAGGCTACGGTACAACGAAGGCAAACCTTGTTTTTTTTGTACCCTTAAAGGTTCACAAAAAAAACTGGCCGCGAGGGGTCCGCAAGTCAATAGAAATCAACAATTATTCTGGAATCCTCCACTCCCTCTGCGCACTATGCGAGGTATAACAACTGAGACTAGGAGTCAACATCACGGGCTGGAGAGAAAGAGGCACGCCCCCTTGGTTCAATCTCGGTACTTCACAACGCAAGCAGAGACAAGGCCATCTGGCACAGAAAAAGAGAAAAAACAAAAGAGAAAAGGAGAAGAAAGTAAAAGGAAACAGTATTTTTTCTACATAGTCTAAGGATTGAGAAAATGAAATGAAAAAGAGGGAGGACTAAAAGGGACCAGGCCAAAAATAACAAGAAATAAGAGACAGAAAAAGGCACACGGTGGAGAGACCACTAACGAACAAGTAAACACGCAAACATGGCCACCAACTAGCGATACATTGAAATGGGGCGTCATCACTAGTGGGGGGTTGGTGCAATGGTGCAGCGTTGGCGGGGGGGGAATTGGCTAAAAGAATTTCAATCCGGTACGTATCGCTCCACTCGGTCCGTCTCTTCTCGTTTGCTTCTTCCCTCGTCGTCTCGTCCGTCTCCTGCCCCCCTCCCGCCCCATTGGTTGTTGGCTTGTGGTTTCGTTTGAGCGACCGTGGTCGGCTGGCCGCTTCATCCTTCTCGTGCAAGGAGGTCATGAACTCTCAGCTTCCTGCAGCACCGCCGCATGCCAGGGTACTCCCCCCTCTACCTTCGCAAGCTTCCGTCCACTTTAACTTCGGTGCCGTGTCTTTCGGTACCGGGATTCCGAGACAACATGGATCGGTTTTCGTAGATCCGTGGTCGGCCCCGAATGCCTTCAGGTCGTCGAGCACACACTTCGGCCAGTTCTGTTCCTGTCCCCCCCTACGTCGATTCTACCCCCCTGCCAGTTCGCCGAGCATCAGTCGTTTCGGGACTTGCCCGTCCAGCTGCCTTGCCAATGCTGCCGCAAACAGTTGGCGTCGTTGTCGGATCGTGGCTTCAACGCTCTGGCATTCGACCCTCTTCAGCGTCTGGGCGTAAGAGAGCTGCCGGTAGGTGCCTTTTTTGCGCTTGTACCCTATAACTCGAAGGAGCAGTCGGTGGTGTATCGACCGTTGCGTCTGATAGTGGCCGCTGAGTGGTGACCATGTCATGCAGCCGTACAGCAGTGCCTCCATCGCCTCCGCCTGGAGCAGGCGGATCTTGAGTCGGAATGGCGCTTGCGGTCTGTCGAAGAGCTCCCGGCCATATCGCCTGAGGCACGCCCACGCTCCTCTGCTCCTGTAGTTGATCTCCCGGGTGAGGTCGCCATGTTCGTTGACGAGGCCACCGAGGTACCGGAACTCGGTCGTCTGGGCGTATTTCTGTCCCGCGGCTTCGATGGTCAGTGGTGGAGGCGGGGCGGGCTGTGATGTTGTAGTCGGCTTGTCCTTTGCGCGCATCAGGAGCGTCTCCGTCTTCTTCTCCGACACCGTTAGCCCGAACTCCCCGAACACCTCAACGATGATGGTCATCATTCTCGCCAGTCCTTCTGCAGACCCCGATACGACGCCGGCATCATCGGCATACAGGATGTCCCATATTGTCCTTCGAACTCGGTCAAGGGGTGTCTCCTGCCCCCCCCCGCTTCCGTCTTCCCCTCCTCCAAGCACACCAGGCTCCGCAAGGGCTGTGATGTTGTAGTTGGCTTGTCCTTCGCGCGCATCAGGAGCGTCTCCGTCTTCTACCCCGACACCGTTTGCCCGAACTCCCCGAACACCTCAACGATGATGGTCATCATTCTCGCCAGTCCTTCTGCAGACCCCGATACGACGCCGGCATCATCGGCATACAGGATGTCCCATATTGTCCTTCGAACTCGGTCAAGGGGTGTCTCCTGCCCCCCCCCGCTTCCGTCTTCCCCTCCTCCAAGCACACCAGGCTCCGCAAAACAACATCATCCTCGCTGAATCGGATGACAACGACCTCGAGGACCTCGGCGAAGATGTTGAACAGCAGTGGGAATAGCACACATCCTTGTCGCACGCCCTGTGTCACGAAGAACCAGTCCGATAGTTCTCCGTCGTCCATGCGCACCCGGGCCCGCATTCCATCGTGGAATTGGCGGATGACTTCGATCAGCTTCGCGGGAATCCCGCCCTGGTCAGCACCTTCCATAGCATCTCTCGGTCCACCGAATCATACGCCTTGTTCAAGTCGACGAAGCACATGTAGAGCGGTATTTTCTTTCTCCGCCCCAGCTCCTGGAGGCGGCGCACGACGAACAGCATGTTGACAGTGGATCGCCCGGGTCGGAAATCGCATTGTTCCTCCAGGAGGATGTTGTTGGCTTCGCAGAAGGCGCTTAGACGGTTGGTGATGATCTTGGCGGGGACCTTGCCTACGTGAGATAATAGCAAAATCCCCCTGTAGTTGTTACAGTTGGACCGGTCACCCTTCTTGTACAGCACCTTGATGGTGGCATCCTTCCACTCTCGCGGAATATCTCCTCCGTTCCACACCTTGACGAGGATGGTATGGAGGTGTGCCAGGACGAAGGGTTCGTCGTCACCGATCTTGAGCGACTCGGCAGGGAGGGAGTCATGGCCGCGTGCGTTCCATTTCTTGAGGCCTTTCGTTGCCCGTGCCACCTCCTCGAGTTCTGGCACATCTCCCAACCGTTGAGTGTCACGTGTCGCTGGCCGCTGCGTCACTCGTTCGATGATGTGTGGGTTCAGGGTAGGGGATTTGATGTTGAGTAGGTGCTGAAGAATTTCGCCCACCGCTGGAGGATGTCGTCCCTGTTCTGGAGCAGCACGCTCTTCTCATCCGCGACGAACTGTGGTACGAAGTAGGCTCGTTTCAGGGGATGTTTGGGTTTTGTCCCCGCTTTGTGGCGGAATTGGCATGTTTCTGTGGACGTACGTGAACGATGTTTTGCAGTAGCAGCATCGCTGCCGCTCATGAGTTCAGAAGAGAGAGTCTACCAGGGCAAGGAGCAGAAGGCGAGCTTGAGTGTCCGGTTGCCAGTGCGTCGACAGAGTTCGAAGCGGTGGTTGGTTCCAGCAAGTGAGTGCAGGAGTTCGGTCGAACAGCAGCAGTGTTGATCGGCTTGAGTTGAGTGCAGCAGCGAGCAGAATTAACGACAAAGTTTTCTCTTCAAAGCATATTCTATCATCCTCGGTCTTCGAGTCTTTGATCTATCATCTTCGGCGACAACCGTCCGAGACATAGAGCAACCCACTGACAAGAACCTCGAACCTAGCACAAGAACCGTTAGCGTAGAGCCACATCGCTCTGCTTTAGATTGGCTGATTGGGTCATCAGCAGAACCAGAATACAAAGTATAACATTGCCGTCGTCGGCACTTGTTTGTGCGATTGCTTTTTGCGTCTTTGAGTATTACAGCAGTATTTTAATAATGGCCATCCATACTCGCAACAAGACGATTGGTTCGCTTCGTGGTACTCGTAGCTGCCTCGCGTTCGGGGTTGCCCGCCCCCGCTCGCGTGCCCTTTGCCCGCCTCTCTTCCACCTCGCTTGTCGTTCCCTCTGGCGGCGAGCTTTCTGGCGCCTCGTCTGCTGGTCTTCCTGCCGGACCTTTCGCCGGCGACCTTCAGGACCTTCAGGAGGGGGAGGCCGTCCTCTACGTCCGGGCCTCGAATTCTCGCCGGCAGGGCGCCGCGAGTGATGTGGGAAAGCAGAGCACGGGGTCGGGGGGGGGAGGGGACCGCGGGCGTCGGCGTTCGGGGGAGGACGAGAGGGATCGTAGACACAGCCGAGCGACGTCGTCGAGAGGCTCGGCGGCTGGTGGATCTTCCCGGGCTTTGAGACTAACCCGTGTGCCGTCTTTATCCCCCAGCTCACATTCCCCTTCTCCGCCCCCTCACAATCCTAAGGTAGCCTCGAGATTGATGTCTTTTAACGTGAACCGCACCTTCCTGCAATACGTGCGGCCACGCCTGCCGTTGCCTGCTGGTAGCACGTGGACGGCCCTATTGACGTTGGTCGGTCGGTTGCGACATGTAATCGCACAAGGCCGACAGGCGTGCGGGGATTTCCATGCCACCGCGTGGGCGCCCGAGTGGACGTCACTCGCACAGCAGTTTCTAGTGTGTTGTGTAGCTGCAGAGAGCGGGGAGGGTCCGGTGAACCAAATCTTGTCCATCGGCCGCGATTTGAAAAACCATAAGCGACAGAAACCTCGACGGCCCACAAGGGTTCGCCGAGCTCGTCAGCCAACTGACGAAGCGCTTTACCAGCTTCCGAGTCAACTCCATCCCGATCATGTTGGCACAGTTTTCCATTCCAATTAACACTCCTTTACAAGATTGGATAGTACAACTCAAGGAACTAGTAGAAGGGCTGTCGTGTTTCGGAGACTCCTGCTGTTCCAACGCACAGATCGTATCCACCGCCATCGAAGGGCTAGCGGTACAGTTCCCAGAAATCTCATTATTCGTGAGACCCATGTTGAAGCAAGCGGTGACATTAGCGGGCATGTGGCGGCGCTTTCGGGACGCCGAGATAGATGAAAGCAACGCTCTCGCCCGCGCGCCTCCTAGCTTAGGAACGGTGTCCACCCGCTCATCTACAGCACACTCTAGCCAACCACGGGTCCACGCGGTAGTACGAGGTCGTTCGTTGGACAACTTGCCCTCGGGGCGCGAGTATGAGTTAAGCGGTGACGAGGAAGGACATCAACGCGTTTCCCGGCACTTGTACCCTGTGCTCGGGAAGGGGTCAGACAAACAGATGCCTCTTTCGGCCGGCCCTTCGTCCCACTTCTGGAAATTCACGGCTGATTCGGTAGAGGGGGTGGAAGCTTAAAACCAGCTGCCGCGTGACGCCTGCTACAAATGTGGACGCACTGATCACTTCCTACGTGATTGCCCTGAGTCGTTCAGAAATGAGTGTGGTGTGATCTGTGAGACGTTTGGGGACGGTGCTCCCGAAGTGGTTGAAGACAGATGGCAAGCTAAGCTCCGAAGCCTAAGAAGGAAACAACGAGCGAGGGGCTCTTCTCCTCACTCTGGAAAATAGGAAGTCGACGCCGAGAGTTTCCGCCTCTCGGCGACGGAATCGACGGAACCATACGGTGGTGGGGGCGGGCGAAAACCGTCGCTGCCGTCCGAACCGTCTCACGATTTCCGACGTAGTGTAGAGAGGGGCGGAGAGCCTTCGGGCTCTCCACCTACTTTGTCGGATAGTATTGAAACGCCGATCTACTCGGGAAGTAGTACAACACCGACGCCCGAAAAACTACCACTTAGTGTAGTACCGAAACCCGAACCGAAGCCGATTGACCGAGTGCACAGAACGAGGTTGAGAGTAATTAATTTAGCCGAACAGGTCTTGGAGTAATAATCCTCCACGAAGTAGTCGACCAACGGAGGGATACGAATTGCGTGAATTTCTCGAGGAGTATCACGCATTCGTGCCGGGCGAAGCCCGGTTGTAGCAATCCACTCAGGTAGCGCAAGTGCGTGTGTTTGCTGGGCGGGCCAGAGTTAAACATGCGTGTCGCGTGTTGGTAGACACTGGTTCGGTGCTGTCGTTTATCTCTGGCAATGTGATGGATCGAATGGTGAAAACGGGTGCAGCGTTGGAAGAAGGTATTCGTTCCGTGACAGGACAAGAGTGGACGGGGTTTAATGGTCAACCGCTGCGCACGAGTCAAATGGCTCGGTTAAACGTGCAGTTATTCGATCGATTCGATAGAGGGAGTGCCGGTTGCGCCGTGCAGGCCTATATTGTGCCTGACGGGGTTATGTCTCACGATATTGTACTCGGTACGGATAGTTGGCGACACTTTGCGCGTCGTGAATATATTGACATCGGCAACGACACATGTTTATTGCGCCTGGACAACAGCGCCCATTCCTCGGGAGCGTCAGTCAGTGATACTACATTTCCCCGTTCTGCGTCTCCGAAAATGGTAGCTGCGGCTGCCGCCGCCGACCGGCCTGTTTTTTCTGACATGATTGCAATGGTTGAGTGCCCCGACCACGATGGTAGCGAGTTCAGACTTGTAGTGGGTTCTTCCGCCCGTTCACCAGTGGCAGAAGGGCAACGCGAGTGGGCTCCTGTTCGTGTTGAAACCGCTGCTGGGGTGACCGTGACATCGGGATACTTTTATGCCCGGCTCGCGGAAGGGTGGGGTCCGCATGAAGTGTTGGTGGAAGCGGGCGGGTGCCATTTGCCATTGGCGATGTCAAACGCCAGTTCCATCACGCCCAATGTGGTTAATTGTTGAGTCCGACTTTGTGTTTCGCGAGACGGTAGCAACTGCCTCCCCTCGCGATTCGAAGGTCAATGTGGTAGACGGCTCGAGCCCGGGCAATCCTGGCCGCCCCGAGCAACCGCCAGCCGAGTTGCTAGAGAATGTGGCTCCTGAGTGTGAGAGCGCTTTCCGCCGGTGATGGGCCACCGTGCCGCCGCACCTTAGAGAAACTAAATTCGGTCTGAACCATTCCACGTGGCAGCCTGAGGATATCGATCGCCTCGCTGCGTTCCTCACGAAATATTCTGATCGATTCTCTGAGAGACCGGTTGATCTAGGCTACTGTAGCACCATCCCTTTTCGAATTGCATTGAAGCCTGGTACGCGCCCCATCAAACAGCGCGCATATCGCCGAAATCCCGCGATTTATGCCAAGGTCCAGGTTGAGATAGATAAAATGGTGTTGGCGGGCATTTTGCGGCGTTTCAACAGCGAGTGGACGTCCCCGGTGGTGTGTGTAATGAAAAAGAACGGGTCGGTGCCAGTGACGGCCAATTTTTTAACGACTGAACAGCGCAACAGTAATCCCCTGTAGCGTTCTGCCCCGCATGGCAGAATGCATAGATCAGCTGGGGGGTAGCTCCGTCTTCTCGGTGCTCGACTTGGTGAGCGGCTTCTTTGAAGCCACGATCCACGAGAATTCCATCCCCTTAACGGCCATCGTGACGAGAACGGGGTTGTACGAATTCGTTCGAGTCCCCATGCGGGCGAGTGGTGCGCCCAACCATTTCCAGTTGTTGATGGCTAAGGTGTGTGAGGGGTTGGAGCGTGTGCAGTTATATGTGGATGATATCGTGGTGCACTCCAAATCCGCGGCAGAGCATGTGGTGCATTTCGAGAAGTTGTTGGAACGATTGCGCATCCACAATCTGAAACTAGCTCCCAAGAAAGCGAATGTGGGTGCCGCCGAAGTGGAATTGTTGGGGCATTTGATCACACCAACTGCCTCGCGCCTGGGTGTGGTAAGGTTGCGGCGTTGGAAAATATACTTATGCCTACGAATAAGAGCCAGCTGCGTTCCCTGTTGTGCAGTTTTTAGTTTCTCCGCAAGTTTATCCCTAACTTGGCCACTCGAGTGCGGGGCCTCCACGAGATGCTAATACAAGACAAGGAATTTCGGTTTACGACTCAACACGAAGAAACCACTAGAGCGATTCTCACAACGTTGATGAGCACGACAACTTTGGCGTTCCCTGACTATGAGGCCGCCATCGATGGATCTCGCCCATTTCAGTTATCGTCCGATGCGTCTGTTCATGGTTTTGGGGCCGTTCTGGAACAGCAACAGGGTGATGGCACGATGCGTCCTCTCGTGTACGTCAGTCGATCAACTCTTCCCAACGAACGCAACTGGGACGCGACTGACCTAGAAATGGGGGCGTTGGTTTGGGCTGTCATGAAGCTCCGAGTGTATTTGTACGGTATCCCTTCGTGGTGCGTACGGACCATCAACCGTTGACTAGCTATCTGTCTTTGAGTGAGAAGAAGCCCCGAGGGTATAGAATGTGTGACTTCCTCAGCAGCTATCAGTTTTCCTTGCGCTACAAGTAGGGGAACGATAATCAGGTGGCTGTTATGCTTTCTCGGTTGCCGCAACTTGCGACCGACAAGGATGAATCGGGCCCGAACCGCCTCATAGAAGAGGGTGATCTCGAAGTGTACGTCGTGGGTGCTGCAAATTGCCTGTCCCCTCCCTTGGACTTGCAATTGCCGACTTCCACGAGGACTTTAGGTCGTTTATGGAGCCCGTAGATCCGTTGACCACCGATTAGGTCGCGCAGAACCAGTGGAATCTGGCTGTCCGATCTCGTCAACGCGGCGTCAGTACCGTCAGGTATCAGGCGCCGCGGGTCCTCGCTATTAACCCGCCTCCCGCCCCTAGTTCCGCTCCGGTTTCCCATTGTACTTTCAGTGGTCAGTTTCAATCAGGTGTTCTGCTGCACGCGTGCTCGGTATTCCCGGCTACGCCGGTGTTGCCGCTCTCTACCCGCTCCGCTGGGGTCGTGCCTCGGTCACCTCGTGTCCGAGCAGGCCGTCGTCCTTCTTGGAAGATTCGCGAACGGGAGGAGGTACCTGAGCCCGCCGCTGCAACCGCTGTGCCTGCTAGCGGCGGTGCTTCTGCCGCACGACCGGCGCGTCGTGCCGCCGCCCGGGATCCGACACCGCCGTCCCGGACGGGCCCCGCGGAGGACACACCGATTCCTAGCGGGGCCGGTCGCCGGCACCGGCGCCAGAGACCGCCTCTTTCCGCCGACCCCGTGGTGGAACAACCGGCTGCTCGCGGGGCCGGTCGTCACGGCCGGCGTCCTGCCGCGCCGACGCCCACCACGGCTGTCATGGCACCTGAGGAGCCCAGTGATCGTCCACCAAGGCCGCGCCGAGACTCAGCTTCGACACCGGAGGGGCCCCGAGATCGTCCGTCGAGATCGAGGCGGGCCGCCGCCGCCCGCCGTACCGCCGCCCAGCGCCCGACCTTTGCTACGGGCGCCCGCGTCAAGCGACTTGTCGATTCGGGGCACGGTTGTGCGACAGGACCGACCTCGAGTGGGCCGCCGCGCGAGCGCGAGACGCCCTGACGTCTTACGCCATCAAGTACGTGGGTGATTCTGACTCGTTTAGCGTTCCCGATATGGGCGATTGTATTGGGGATGAAAGTACCACCACTCTTAAGATGATTCAGAAGTTGGCGGACAAATGCACACTCGTGACTTTGCCTCGCTCCGAGGCGGTAGGGACCAAAGATGCCCGCCACGTGCTGCTGATAAAGAAACCGTCCGAAGCGCCTACATCTCGCGCCCAACGATAAAGCGGCAGTAACTTCGAAAGACTTTTGGGGGATGAACCGGTCCGATCGTACGTTCCTTTTCTTTTGCGGCCGTGGGCGCTAAATGCGGTGCACACAGAAGGTTGTCATTTAGGAGAGGACGTGACGCTGGCCTCCCTCGAGCGTTACTATTTTTGGATTGGCATGAGTGACAGCGTGCGATGGTTCATTATACACTGCATCGTGTGCCAAGCCTCGAAAACGGCTCGCCGAAAAGCTAGATGGCCGTTGATTTCGCTTCCCTTACCCTCTCGGCCGAGGTAAATGGTGGCGCTTGGTATTCTTGGCCCTCTGCTGAGAACTAAACGCGGAAACAATTACGTGTTGCTGGTCGTCGACCTGTTTAGTAGGCATGCCGAACCCTACGCTCTCTCTGACGACGAGGAAACGGCTCAGGGGTGTGCCTCAAAGCTAGCCAACGATTATTGTACGCGTTGGGGATGCCCGGTGTAACTGTTGTCGGATAGAGGTGGCGAGTTTACGGCGGCGGTCGCGCGTGATGTGTACCGATTGCTTGGGGTCACGAAACGGTTTACCAGCTTATTCTACCCTCAAACCATACGGTCTGCCAGATGTTATCTCATGTGATCAGCGCCCAACAATGGGACGACCATCTCTTGCCGTGTGTGTACGCTCACAACAATCACGCGAGTAAGGCTACCGGTCTGGCGCCCATGGAAGTACATTTTGGCCGGTATCCTCGTTTTCCGATGACGGTTCTTGGGTCACAGAAGGTGGTTTCTGGTATGCAGTCGAAAAAGCGGGATGATCTAGAATACCTCCAGCTCATGAAAGACCGGCAAGCGAAAGCCTACGAGCTAGTGGTTGAAAGAAACAGGCTCACGAAAGAAAAACACGGAGCACGCAACGAAGATCTAGACAACCTCAATACGAAGCGGCCGATTTCCCACGCGGGCACGCGGGTGTGGTGCGACGATCCACAGCACACCCTCCGTACAGCGAATGACGATAACACAGCTTCTGCCAATAGGATTAAAGCAAAACTCGTTAACCTGTGGACAGGACCATTTAAAGTACTGGCTGTAGGGCCCTGTCGCTTGAACGACATGGAAGTTGGGTCCAAGTTGCTGTATCTGGAAGTCCCACAGGACACACAGGCCAAATCCAACCGTGTCTCAGTGTTGGGTTGTAAGCGTTGCCATTGTGCGGGCAAACCTGAGGAATTCCCCGACTTATTACCTTGGAAAATTTGTTCGTACGTCCTGAATAAATTTGCAGACATGGCGCCTCCCTTCTACCTCACCGCGGATGACGTGGAAATAGAGCTTGACGTACAGCGTGCGCAGCCGACCGCTATCACTGGTCACCGTATCAGTAGAGGTCCAGGGGGTTCCATCGCGGTACACTACGAAACGCGTTGGCGCGGACACCGCCAGCCCACTTGGGAATCTGAAGCAAACATCCATCAGTATGGTGATTTTGTCGTAAAGTATTGGGTGGGCAGTACAGTGCGTCAAGTAGGAGCCGACAATAAAGTGCACCGTGACTATAATGAACTTGCCGCGCACCGCGCGCAAGCTCGCTCTCGTGATTCCCTTTATGTGCCACCAGGGTACGCGTTACTGGCGCCGTGGGAGCGTGGGCCGGCGTTGCTGTCAGCGGAGATGAAAGGAGTGCATGTGTACGTGCGGACGAAACAGGAGGGCTGGCAGCTGGGGGTAGTACATCAGGTTTCGAGGGCGCGGGAGGAGGACCTGCAGTACAACGTCAATTTCGTCGACCTCGAGTGGCGTTTCAACGGTTCGCTGTCGTCGACGAAATATTGTACGGCGGTTGATGGTCCGCCCGGATCGTGGTGGTTTCTTGTGCACATGCGGTCCGGGAGCGTCCGGAGGAAGGGGACCCGAGGGGTGCTCTGTGGTGGAGGTTTCACCGTGGTGGTCGGGGTGCGCTGTGGTGGAGATTTCGCCGTGGTGGTTGGGGTGCGCTGTGGAGGAGGTTGCGTTGTGGTGGTCGGGGAACGCTGTGGAAGAGGGATTTTCGTGGCTGTGGGGAGAGCGAGACGGCACGTCGAGGATTTTTCAGGGTGGAGGCAGATAGCATCTCGACGTCTCGCGGAAAATGTTTTCGCGGCGGGACGAGAGAACGAGAGAACGATAGAGCGAGACGAACGACCTCGCCACAAACATTTTTTTTTCTGTCCCCGGTGGTGTTTGTTGCGGATTTCTTGCCTTTGGTGTTGCCTTCTGATGGCGATGTTTTTTTTTCCGGTGTGGTGTGTCGGTTGTTGCTGTTTGGCTCTGGGGTCTCGGTAGCGACGTGCCGTCCTTCTTCGGGAGGATGAGGGGGAGAGGCACAGGCCAATAAAAAAAAAGCTGTGTTTGGTAGAAACTTGGGAGTTTTTGCTGAAAGATTGGTGGGCTGCTCCGCCTCGAGGAATTTCGGTTCAATTTTTGGTTGGTTTGTTGGTGCCTTGGTCATATTGCGGGTGCGAAGTCCGGGAGTTTTTGAGTCCTCGAAGGGAAGGTCGTCGTGTTTTTCTTCTAGGATAGTCTAGGGGGTCAACGATTCGTTGTGGTTCCACCGATTTTGGGCAGGAAGATTTCGAAGCTCTTTTTCGACGCGATGATATCGTTCTTCTCATGGTGGTCATTCTTCGGTGAACTTTGGAGTTCCAGGGTAGGCAATACAGCAAGGTTCGATGGCTTTTCTTTTTCCCCTAATAAAGACCGTCAAAGGTCTGCTCTCCTGTAAAAAATATTCCGCAAGGAAGCTGAAGCTGAAAATGTGCTGTGTCTATGTCAAAGTGCTGTTGTCCTTGTCAAGTGCTGCGTCTATGATTGTCCTTGTCAATGTGCTGTGTACATGTGAAAATTCAGCTTCAGCCTTGCGTTGGGAGAGTGCGCGTACATCAGACACGCGTGGGGAGAAAATTGGTCGAAATCATGACGTTGTGGATTACTTTTGGACAGTGCAAAATTTCCAGCGTGTCAAAAAGCAGTGTGGGGGAATGTGATACGAAGTAGGCTCGTTTGAGGGGATGTTTGGGTTTTGTCCCCGCTTTGTGGCGGAATTGGCATGTTTCTGTGGACGTACGTGAAGGATGTTTTGCAGCAGCAGCATCGCTCATCAGTCCAGAAGCAAGAGTCTACCAGGACGAGGAGCAGAAGGCGAGCTTGAGTGTCCGGTTACCGGTGCGTTGACAGAGTTCGAAGCGGTGGTTGGTTCCAGCAAGTGAGTGCAGGAGTTCGGTCGGACAGCAGCAGTGTTGATCGGCTTGAGTTGAGTGCAGCAGCGAGCAAATCAAAGACAAAGTTTCCTCTTCAAAGCATCATCTATCATCCTCGGTCTTTGAGTCTTTGATCTATCATCTTCGGCGACAACCGTCCGAGACATAGAGCAACCCACTGACAAGAACCTCGTACCTAGCACAAGAACCATTAGCGTAGAGCCACATCGCTCTGCTTTGGATTGGTTGATTGAGTCATCAGCAGAACCCGGATACCAAGTAAACAGAACTGCTACTGCTGTTGTCGTTGTTGTTGTTGTTTCTCACATTAGCTCAATAGTCCACAAAAAATGGGGAGCCCGTGGTCTCAAAACCCGGCACATACGACGCCGCGAGAAAACAAAAATAACAAAAATAGGGTACAAACCACTCGGAAAAAGAAAACAAAATGATAGAAAGAAAAGAACAGGTACCGCACCGACCGTTCGAGAAAAGAGCCCTCGGACACTAATCAAAATAAAACAAAACAAAATAACAGAAAAATAAAGGAGGACGCTTCCCACACCCGCCGAAAGCAACAAAGTGTAACGTACCAGCACCAGGTACTGCGCACCAGGGCATGGGAGTAACGGAGCAAACAGGGCAAAGAGGCGGCAGATGGGCAGTGTCAGACACTAAATCTCCCCGCGCGCACGAAAGAAATAGCACCCAAGAAATGAAAGAAGGCGTGTCTCATACTCACCCCCTGCTCTCCAGCTCCCTGGCATTGCCCTCTGCCCCCTGCCCTTTCCCCGTAGCCCAGGCGAGAAGGAACTCTGCCAGAGCAGCTACAGTAACCCGGACAACATAGTTGCCCCGCAAGAGAGAGCATTTGGTCTCCCGCTTGTTTGGCGCAGCATCCGTGCATCCACGAGCGTACGAGCAGCCCACGTCACACCCCCAACCAACGAGCCTCGTACGCTTGTTGTAGACTAAGCGTCGTGATTTCCGGCAGGTCGAGGACGAGAAGCCGGGATCGCTCCCACTGCCATACCTTTATCTTCCTCTTTGTTGGTGAGTCGCAGTCGTGTGCAGATGTCCAAGTGAGTTGCAGCTCGTTTGTCCTTTACCCTCGAGTGTACGTGTCAAAGCCGAAAATTTCCTTTAGGAAAATATTTGAAAAGGCGTCCTCGGATCTTGCTGATGGAAAATCGACCAATCAATGGAATTGCACGGAACCGTCGGAACGTCCCGAAAAGACCCTCTGACGCACACGCGCGAGGGCGCGGCTCGCCTGTGTGCTTTGCTCCCTGCTATGGGGCACAACACAACACCATTGCGCGGTCCCAGTCTAGAACTTATGTCTTATGACACGCCCGAGCAGCCCCTGGGTGGTGAGATCGCACCGACGGCTACTGCTGGTGCTGCTGCTGCCGCTGCTGCTGGAGAAAACAACAGGAGCAGCGGCGGCAGCAGCAGTCAGGAGGAGCCCCCCATCATCCACGCGCATCGTCTCGGTTGTGTGCTACACATCCTGCACCTCTCCATCACCGCGGGCATGACCAGCGCGCTCTTCATGGGCCCGTTTGGTAAGGGTTCTTGGCATGAGTGGGAGCCCGACCATGTTTTCTCCCTTCTTGGTATGGTCTGGTACAACACAAGCCGCTCAGAATCGTCGGACGCAAATTTTCAGCGGTGGAAAAGGGTAGTGGCGGCGCAGTTCCCTAACGCGAAGCTGTGGCTCATCAAGTTCATCAGACCTGCTGAGACGCGTCGGATGGTGGTTATGGACGGGGCCAAGCTCCTCGGTGAACTCTGGGAGCAGGTCGAGTGGCATTTTTGCGAGTACGCTGCTAGAAACCTCAACAAGACGACTTTCAGAAACTACTGGGTCCAGTCGGCGTACATGCTTCGAGATCCTTTGGTTCGTGTGCATGTCATGTTCACGGCAAGGCTCGGAGAGCTGTTGTTCGACTGGGCGTACAACTGGATTCATGGCAAGGGGGGGTTCTTTCTAAAGGGCGAAGGGGTCGGTCGGCGGCTGTCTCCTGGGATGCGTTTGGTGGAGGTGGCTGACTTCTCTCGCCTGCTGCTCCAAAAGTTGGAGACGATCCACAAGGATCCCCAGACGTACTTCGCGGCGCTGCTAGACCGCGTTCGAACTACCCTGAGCGACCCGATGGTAAGTGGTGGCGGGACTTTGTATTGCAGTTTGGATTATAGCGGGGTTGTGGCTAGAAGGCAACCGCTGCACAGCAGAAATGCTGCTGTACGAACGGCCGTCATCACGATTTTGGTCTTCCATGCTCGCTCCCTTCCGCCATGTTTTTCAGCGTCGTGCTGCTACCTCTCTCTGCTTGTATCGGCTGGTGCTGGTGGCTGCTGCTGCTGCTGCTGCTGCTGCTGCTGCGATGGTCATGCTATGATAACACTGATGCCTTTGCCGCTTGAACTGGTCGCCAATTGCGTTGTCCTGATGCTGCAGGCGAAACTTTTCATGTTAAACTTCAGCGAGGACAGTTTTTTTTTGCCGAGTTCAAGAAGCGATGGATCAAGTGGATGCAGCGGCATCAGGAGCTACCTCTGAGCATGGCGCGGATTGGATGCCCCTCGTTTTACGCTCGGACAGGAATAATGGGGGGGGGGGCTGTAGAGCAGGCGGTGGGGCCGGAGTTTGCGCGTGCTTTCCTCCATGTAGCGTGGCCTGGTCTATACGAGGGAGAGCCACGCACGGAGAGGGAGAGAGAGTACCGAACTCAGCTCGTGAAGGATTTGGGGGGAACCACCGNGGCCACGCACGGAGAGGGAGAGAGACTACCGAACGCAGCTCATGAAAGATTTGGGGGGAACCACCGAGGCACGAAGGAAAGATGAGTTGACGTTCGGGCTGTTTTCCTGTATTGATGGGGACCTTTCTGTAAGGAGTGAACTCGAGCAGTATGCGAGTTCTGGGTGGGGTGACAAGGAGATCGACGAGAGTGCACCGAAGGGTACGTCAGCGCTGGCGCGTCTGTTCGATTTTCTCCTCCTATACCAGTTGGTATGTCACCGATTCTACTTCGTTCCCATTTACCAGCAGTTGATCGAGGCCTTCTTGTCGAAGTACGACTCATGCGCAAAGAAAAGGGACATGGCTGAGATGGACATTGTTCGTGTTGGGGGGTGGAAATCAGCGGAGTCTAGAGATGTCGTGTGCGCCGATGCAACCGGTGACCAAATTCGTGGCGCCGGCAACAAGGTCCTAAAGGAGGCAACGGAAGCAAAGGCTATCTCCCACGCACGCAAACCGTCCGAGAACTTGAGCAGAAAAAGAGCGTTGAAACCGGAAGCCGCAGAGGATTTGCTGGATGTATTAGAGAAGGAAGGGAGTCGGCGGCCGCGGGTGACCGCGGCAGAAATGTCGGAGTCGGAGAGACGCGTGGGTTTTGAGTGAAGTGGATTTTGCAACGTCGACCAAAATCAAATCGTAAATCATGTTTTCACTCTGCCTCTCCGTGTGCACCACCATGTGTACAAGCGAAGGCTGCAGCTCAGGCGGCTGCACCGACAAGGTCGGGTACCGACCGTATGTTGTCTCTCACACCATCTTGCTTTTCAACACTCGTGTAGTCGTGCGTGCTCATACGCAAGAGGACGCATCAAAAATCGCGCTAATTTTCGTTTAACTTCAACCAAACGTCGAACACCTCACGCCANGTAGTCATGCGTGCTCACACGCAAGAGGACGCATCAAAAATCGCGCAATTTTTCGTTTTACTGCAACCAAACGTCAAACACCTCACGCCAAGTCGAAGGAAACCAACGAAAACACTCCCCCCCTTAACCATGCGAGCTCCATACGACACAACGCATCCAACACATGACATCACGTTGCAGCTAGGCACAAGAGCATCTTCGCAGAGCTCACGTATCAAACGCCTACAAGCTGCACACCACTTCTGAAACTATTCAGCTCTCACACCCGCTCTCTTCCGAGCTGCCCCCCCCATTTCCCTCCTTGGCTTTCAATCGACCACTCGTCCTGGTAGCTGCTGGAGGAGGAGGCGGCGCCTTTGCTTCCCCTTTCCCCTTCCCTTTCTCCCCCCCTTCGCCTTTCCCTTTGCGTTGCCTTTTGCCGTTCCCTCGGGGGCGGCGCCGCCGCCGCCGCTGGCTTTTTTGCGTTTGTTTGCCCGCGGCCCCGCCCCGCTCGCCCCCCCGCCGCCGCCGGTGCGTTTCGTGGCTGAACACCACGACCACTATTGCTGCTGGCTCCCCCTGTAGCTCTTGTGGGGGGTTTCTTGGTGGTGTCCTCACCCCGTAGCTTTCTCTGCAACAGCTTCACACAACCCTTCCCCTCGGAGGAAACAGATGCGGTGTTATCACTCAAGACGAAGAGCACCTGGTGTTNCCTGCAACAGCTTCACACAATCCTTCCCCTCGGAGGAAACAGATGCGGTGTTATCATTCAAGACGAAGAGCACCTGGTGTTTTGGGTAACCAAGCGTGTCGACGATCGTTTCGTAAAACAGCTGAGCCTGCGTTTTTGCCGTTTTATCTTTCATGCTGCATACGCCCAACAGGCCAAACCATGGCGCGTCCGCCTCCACGTCGTGAAAAGCGACGAAGACAGGGAACTTCTTGTCCCCGTTGCTGAGCGACTCGTCGCCCGCAATCAACAAAAAGGGCGCCCTGAGAACTGCTTTGACCAACTTNTTGCCGTTTTATCTTTCATGCTGCATACGCCCAACAGGCCAAACCATGGCGCGTCCGCCTCCACGTCGTGAAAAGCGACGAAGACAGGGAACTTCTTGTCCCCGTTGCTGAGCGACTCGTCGCCCGCAATCAACAAAAAGGGCGCCCTGAGAACTGCTTTGACCAACTTCTCGCCATCGAGCTGGGTAATGCCGAGAGCAAGAACCTTTACCGTGTTGCGCGCACATGTGATGTTGAGATCTTGTTTCAATTGTACACCCGTGGCGTGGAACACGGTAGACTGAAGCAGCTGCGGAGTCTTGTTGAGAGACACCCCCCCTTCCACGAAGCTCTTAAACAGCCGTGCAGCAGTCTCACCAAATTTTCCGCCGGGTTTGAGCCTCTTTTTGATGGCGCGCATCAGCACCTTCTTCTCGTCCTCTGCAGAGAGCAACTCCCCACCACCCTCTCCCTTCTCCTCCCCAGGTGCCGCTTGCTCCGGTTCCTCCTCCGGTTGGTTAGCCTTGAGCTTCTCGACAAGCGCCTTGGCCCTCTTCGTCTGGAACACGAGGAGAAGCGGAGTAGCAGCAGCAGCGGCGGCAGCGGAGTTTTTTCTTTTGAAAACACAACACACCAACTACTTGTTCGTACAATTTTTGGTTGACTACACATGGCGCGCACAAATACATGGTGACATCGGCACAGCCGACAGCAGCACACACAACGACAACAAGGAGCAGGGACATCAGAGCGACCTCAAGCAACCACACAGCTAGAGATACCCAACACACACACGCACGCACACACACATGCTAATAAAACACACACACGCACACACAAGAAAAAAAAAAATCACTGCAAAATATACAACACGCACGCACCTTTTTTTTCTCGCTTGAAACTTGTCGCTTGAGCCCCTCCACCAGCGGCCTGAAGTGGTCCACCTTCCGCTGCAGGCTTTCCGCCTTGACCTTCTCGAGCAAGAGTCCGTCTTCGAACCTGCGGATGCTGCCCTCCTCCGGCTCGGGTTGCGTCTCCTCGGCGACGACTGGTATCCCGGCAGACGTGAAGCGACTCACATTGGTTTTGCGGAACTTTTTCACCGAGTCTTTCAGAAAGGCCAACTCCTCCTCCATGGCGCGGGTTCTCTCGTCCGCCTGGCGCTGTCCCGCCACCGCCGACTCCTTCTCTCGCCCAATGGCTTGTTCCTCCTGCTCGGCCTGCTGTTTCTCCTGCTCGGCCTGCTGTCTCCGTGCCCGCTCCGACTTGAGCTCCTCGTCTTTCTCGCGCACAAACTCCAGGGCCATGCTGCAACCAGCTTTGCTCCTCACCTTTCCTACTTTTGGCCAGCCCCTCCTTCGTTCGTTCCAGCGCTTTCTGCGCGGCGGTGATGCTGCCGCGCTCGATAGCGCGCCGGGTGTTGGCTGCTGCTAACGCCTCAGCCACAGACATCCGCGTCCTCTCTTCAAACTTCGCTTTGCTTTTCTTTTGATTCAGCGCAGCGCGCCTGCCGCCATCGAACGTCGTGGACCTCCGTTTTTTTCTTTTAGGAGGGTCCGCGGTGGGCGCCGCAGACCCGCTTGAAGGGCCGTTTCGGACATGCAGATCTCGGGGTTGGCTGACGCGATTCGGGCGCGGTCTGTTGTGCTGTATTGGTGTAAACCCAAGGTAGAGGACTGCAAAAACTCGTTCACGAGAGGAGCAAAGGTCGCCTTGGGCGTGGAGCAAAGAGCCCCAAAAAACATGTTTTTTGGTGTTGTTCGTCCGCCCTTTAACTTTGAGAGAAAACCGACTTTGCAGTCACCTCTATTTGACCTGTGTCCAGGTGTGTGTGACGCATAAAGAGCCATGCTGCTGTCTGGACGCAGAGCGGCCTGCACAAGCAAATTGGCTTGATGTATAGTTTATTCAGTATTAACAGCGGGATTCTCAAGAACAAAAAAAAAAAAATCCGCGTGCCCCCCTCAACTTTTGACGAATGGACCGGACGTTTTTTTGGCCCCAAATTCCGCCGCTTTGNGAGAGAAAACCGACTTTGCAGTCACCTCTATTTGACCTGTGTCCAGGTGTGTGTGACGCATAAAGAGCCATGCTGCTGTCTGGACGCAGAGCGGCCTGCACAAGCAAATTGGCTTGATGTATAGTTTATTCAGTATTAACAGCGGGATTCTCAAGAACAAAAAAAAAAAAATCCGCGTGCCCCCCTCAGCTTTTGACGAATGGACCGGACGTTTTTTTGGCCCCAAATTCCGCCGCTTTGACACCCCTAACAGTAGACCGTTGGGACAAAGCACTCAAATGCCTGTCCTCCGCATCGCAGCCGTCACTATGCTCCGCTGCGTGAAATACGCGTGGGAAGCCTTGGTCTACCATGCTTGTGTGAGGTGGTGCGCTGTGTGATGTTCTGCTGCACAATCTGGCTGTGTGATGATGCGTGTGTGCCTCTCCTCGGTCTCTGACTTAAGTACATATATCTCCCAGCCGCGGGCCCCCTTGTTGGTAAAACCAAGCTTGGTAACACTGCAAACTTTATAGACTAGTCTACAGGCCCTTGGGGAGGTAGTTGGTGATTTGCCTCCCAGGGGCGACGCAAGAGGACATGGCCAATCAATCCCATCGCGGGCGCATGGTTGGTCGTCAGAACGTTCGGTAGTGCCGTCTTACGTGCAACCCGGACGGTAATAAGTTGCCTGGAAGATGCATCACATGTGCCAAGTTGTATGTGCGGCGTGTTTTGTTTTCCTCCCGCCGTGACGTTCCCTTGTACGCTAGTGAGTGGTTTTGGCTAACGGTTTGCTGCAAGACCTACTGCTGTCATCCGGTGCGTTTGATCACTTTCTCTTCTTGTTGTGTGATCGTGTTTGTCTTCCATGGTCCGTGTGACTTTTTCATGCATACACCAAGAACAACGGATCAAAGAGACGCTCAACGTGCCCAAGAACAGTCACACAGATAGATCTAGACTGGTACCGTACCAAACTGCTATGTTTGACTTTTTCGATTTTTCGGAACTTAAGTGTACAAATTTACCGCTGCCAGAGTTGTGCGAGAGGACTTCTGTGTCGCGTGGTGTGTTCCCATGGGCATCAAGAGTCTTGATCCCCGCTGTGGGTACACATGCGCCAGTTGCCGTGTGGTGGTTGCGCGCAAGACTATCACAGCAGCAGGTGTGTGGGCGCGTGGGCGCGTGGCGCGGGAAAAATAAAATGTTCTGTTTTCAGTTTCGCGCCGTTCGAGGAGGCTTTTATGGTTCGGATTCCCAACCCCTGAAAAAAGGAGCCAGTCCCAGCAACTTTAGGCGGCCCTAACGCGCACCACCGGTGTCTCGCGAGCACCACACGTAACGCCACGGCTCCTCTGTGTGCCATGCAGAAGAAAGTGCGAGAGCAAACGCTGTCCTAGCGGAGGAAAACGACTGCGAAGAGTAAAATGTCGAAATCCCACATACTTATATAGCTTACTGAAAAAATGCTTGCTTGGCTTCAGAATAGACACTGTCCCCAGTGGGGGGACACTTTCCATACTGACGCCGAGTCAACATTCTTCCCTCGGGACGGTACAGCCTCTCCCAATGAGCGGTCGCGATTTTTTCTGGACCCATGACATGTAACAAATACTTCCGATGTCCTGCCTCGCGGTGGTGAACGGATTTTCCAGCAGTGACAAGACCCGCCGTATTCAGCAGTGGCTGACTTTTTGCGGTGCAGCAGAACATGGAATACAGTGACTTGTGGGGTCCAGAACTATATGTTGGAGTGGTGACAACTGCATATGGCATGGGATTTGTTTTTGCTACCTTACTGGCCAGTTCTCCTTCACCTGAGAAGGAACAGAAAGACTAGACTATGCCATGAGTCATGCGCGTGTGACGCGCCGGCGGTTTCGAATCCGCTACTACTGTAGAACAGCCGCTGAAGCTGTAGCATCCGCGGCCAAAGCGGTGGTCGGAGCAAGAGAGGCTGCTCACGCTACGTACAGCGGCAGCCTTAGAACCAGAAAAACGTCCGCCGGTCGTGAGGCTAATTTGGTTATGGTGCTGGACGCTCCATGTAGAATACCTTTCTGCTGTGCTGCCACTTGTACACTGAATCTACGGTCACCACTTTCTTTTTGTAGCATACATCCAGTTCGATGAAATTTGTGTGATGACCACGGGCAAGATGGTTATTATCGCTACTACCCGTCCTAAGTAGTTTGTGAAGTTGATGGGAGCTGATGATGACTTCAATGCGCTACCCTTCTGTTGGCCACCGTACCGCCTACCTCTTTTTGTTGTTTGGATATCCTCGTTCAGGAGGACACCGAGTGGCGACGACAGCGGCAGCAAGGTTTTAGGCAAGTATAGGGTCCGGAAACAAAGGACAGGAATCTACAGTAGGGAGGACAGTGTTTGGCCCTGGCGGTGAGTGGCAGCCCCTGCTCCATGCTGTCTGCTGCTTGTGCCGTGCCACCTGCACGACCTCTTTTCGAAACCTCCACATCATCCGGAATCACGCCGTCTTGCTCGTTGCAATCATCATGTTGCATACAGGCTCAATGTCATCTGGTGGTTTGGAAGCCGAGATGGGTGATTTCGCTGTGGCAGCCGAGGTGAGCCTTGCGCGCCACTGCGAACGGTGGGCTGTTCGACCGGACGAACTTTTTGGCTTTTGTCCCCCACTGCGTGCACCACCTACGGATGGAAGGGGAGTACGGGCACAAACATTAAACATCTAACCTTCTACAGTAGAAACACGCCTTTGGTCCCTCGCGTGTATCCCGTTTACGCTTGGTGTGCTTCTGTTATGCAGAGCTGTGAGCCAGTCATCACCGAAAACAAAGAGGCACCATGCGGCACCGACAATAGAGGAGAGGAACGCGAGTCACCCCACGAGGACAGTGTCATTTCAGAGGTTGCAAGCACCGGCCAGCAGAGGAAAGGAGAAACCGAGGTAGGCACCCCAAGGTGTGAATTCTCGCGCGGTTCTGGCTACTTGGGTCAATGTTCAAAGAGGTTGACGTGAAATCTTGACGATCCGCGTGCCTGATTAACGTGTACACGATATCGCTTGGCAATCGTGCAGCTGCACCTTATATTCATGGTATTGACTGGGTATCCTGTTTGACGGAAATATATGTATGTACCGCAGAGCACATATTTATTATTTATTGCCGTCACAAGGTCATGCTGTCCATGACACAGGTTTGTCATCACAAATGATTTTGTCATCAAAACGAAGTAGCTGCTGTTTGCCCTGCCGTGGCTGAATGGAGGCAGCACTCAGACGGAAAGCGATGGTCGCAAACCTAAAGAATGTTCAAGACTCGATTTAGAGAATGAAGCACAAGCTCACTCTTCCCGTCACCTCCCGCCCACACGAGTTCGGCTTTTTTTTTCGCGTTCTTGCGAGCACACAATACGGTGACCGTGGTTTGTTGGATGACGCTGGCAGGCCTCTCCCGGAATAGATAGCGTCCAGGTGAAGGAAGAAGAGGAGGAGAATCAAGAGGAAGAACACGAAGAAACGGTAAGCTAGCGTTCATGTCTGTGTATTCCTACCATCTAGACCGGAAACCTTTGATCCTGTCGCACCCAACTGCTAGCGGTAAAGAGCTCGTGCAATTGGCTCAACTGTCGATGCTCAATGTAAACTTGAGCGTGGTCTGTACGACCTGCGTTAGATCTGGCCGCTCCACATGTTGACAGCCATTTTTGTGCACACGGACGGGCCGGGGGAAACCCATCCCGTTCACACCAAATCACTTCATGGCAGACTCCCTGAGTTGCTTGGATGTGTTGTGCATTGTACCTGGAGATCGTGTTAGTTCCCAAGCCTGTTTCTTCTTTGCAGTCGTCTCCTCAGTAAGGATTGTTAGTTGTATGTCCACCTGATCGCGTTCAGACACCGCGGATGACTGGGTTAATCTTCTTGTTGAGCTGGGTTGAGTTTTCTGTGTAACCCCAGAGTCACTTTTTGGAGGTGGCGCTCGCGTCATCAGGGAGACCCATATTTACAGTTGTCGGATGACTCGCTACAGGCAAGGCCGGGCAAACGCAAGTTCGGGGGTATGGCCAAGGCCCTGGTCCGGCACAGCATCTGGACAGTCAGCAGCCAGGGGCCCACCCACGCTGAAAGGTGAACAGAATAGGGCGGTGTTCGAGTGTAGCTACCGCACGAAGCAAGGCGATTGCCGTTGTGATCCTTGCGGTTTCAGATTCTTGTTTGCCTGTGCCATATGTCCAGTTCATTAGCTTTTCCTCTCCCAAGATGTTCCTCTACAATATCTTCGGCCCCGCTGGTTGGCAAGTTTTCTCCGAAGTGCCGATTTCAACTGTCAGCGTTGTCAACAGCCTGCAAAGCCACGTAGCGGGTGCAAGGAGCCACCCGATCAGCGTCCAGACAAAGCTATCGAGAATCAAAATAGATCGGAGGGAACCCTCGGCTTTCTGTCTCAGGCAGAAACTAGCTTCTTGTATCTCGAAACACAGCATCCAAGCATGCTCTATTTCAGCACCGCATACGTCTGGTGACAGCACCTACATATATTTCATTCACCGGCACGCAAAAATATCACGCTTGTTTCTTCCCTGGGTGGGCGTTGCGCGCGACGTGTTCGTCCATGTTGCTCGCCCGACGGTAAAACGTTGCTGCAGATTATATTTTCATACATCAACCGACGGGGGATATTTTCAACGGCAACATTTCGTTCTGCCCATCCCTCCCCTTTCTCGCCCTTGTCGGGAAAGCAGATGGGGTATGGCTTCGGGCGAGACCAGTGGCGACACCTTGAATGTTGTTCTTCTGTTGCTGTTGCCACTGAGTGGCCCTTGTGGTAGGCACGTGAATTGTCGCTGAGACCTCTGCCCACAACCCTTTATCTTCAGCGCTCAAGACAAGACACATATATTCGCGGTGACGAGCTGATCCAACATTTGATCGAAATAACATATATACCAGGGACGGGAGTTGTCCATACACCTAGACAAAACAAGAGCCCTTTGCCCCAATCGCTCGGAAGCTGGACCACAAAGTATGCTTCCATTTTACTTTTCATGTCCAATCGGTTCTTGGCGTCAGTCTGGTCCTCCCTGTCCATGTTTAACGAACCAGCCGGGTCACACATCAGGAAGGCCATTTTTCTTAGTGCGGTGCTGGTCATAAGTTGCCAATTCGCGAAGGGTTCAGCAGTCCCATCACTCTTTTTCGTGCGTACTCGCATTTACTATTCACCTAAAAAATATTATATTTTTTCTAAGGGTGTGTTGGGTAGGGTACGGGTACGTTGGGTACGGGTACGGGTCCTGTACCCAACGTACCCAGAGTTTGGGTACGGGTACGGGAGTCGTACCCAACGTACCCAAATTTTGGGTACGGGTACGAGAGTCGTACCCAATGCACCCGGGAAACCCGGGTAGATGATGCGTGGGTTTGGATATTTTGGGTATGGGTACGGGTGTGGTGCCTATATTTTGGGTACGTTGGGTACGGGTACGAGAAGTCGTACCCAACGTACGCAGAATTCGGGTGCGGGTACGAGAGTCATACCCAACGTACCTAAACGTTGGGTACGGGTACATACCCGACAAATACCCAAATGGTACCCGGGTATGTACCTTACCCAACACACACTTGAAATTCGGGTATCTACCCGAGGAGTGTTTGGGTACGGGTACGGGTACGGGTACTGTACCCAACGTACCCTGCATTTGGGTACGGGTACGGGTCCTGTACCCAACGTACCCAGAGTTTGGGTACGGGTACGGGAGTCGTATCCAACGTACCCAAATTTTGGGTACGGGTACGAGAGTCGTACCCAATGTACCCGGGTAACCCGGGTAGTTGATGCGTGGGTATGGGTATTTGGGTATGGGTACGGGTGTGGTACCCATATTTTGGGTACGTTGGGTACGGGTACGAGAGTCGTACCCAATGTACCCGGGTAACCCGGGTAGTTGATGCGTGGGTATGGGTATTTGGGTATGGGTACGGGTGTGGTACCCATATTTTGGGTACGTTGGGTACGGGTACGAGAGGTCGTACCTAACGTACCCAGAATTTGGGTACGGGTACGAGAGTCATACCCAACGTACCTAACCGTTGGGTACGGGTACATACCCGACAAATACCCAAATGGTTCCCGGGTATGTTTCTTACCCAACACACCCTTGATCTTTTCCGTATGAGGCCAGGGAGTGTTCCTCGCTGGTGCTTTCTTGGCCGGCCTGGCCAACCCCACTCCACCGCTTGGATGTGTGCGTGGATCACCACGGGAAACATCAAGTTCCGCCACACGCTGACGGCGAGGCCCCAGGAGGGAATGATTCGAGCGAAGAAAGATTTCTAATCTGGACTGCCGGCCCCACGAGTTGCAAGGGCTCGCTGAAAAAACTTGCGTGCCTGTACGCGCTTTATCTAGGTTTTCCAGTATAGACCGCTCTTTCAGACTACAGGGGGTCAGCAGCCGCACTTTTTTTTTTGCCGAGGACATGGCGGATTGCAACAGAGAACACACGCACTGCCGCAGAGAACACTCGCACTATGGGCGACACCACACAGCTGACAACACACGCACAGCAGCCAGCGAACGCATAGCAGGCGACACACACATACAGCCGGCGAAAACATCTGGGCTCGATGCCGCTGGACCCTGTGGTGTGATGAGGCTATGGTATTGCTGTCGCGCATGATCTTTTTTGACCGCCGCGTTGCCAGTAATGTGAGCACAGCACCATGTTAGGCCTCGAAACCTAGGACGTCGATCGCCATCGCACCACTTCGAGCGTGTGATCCATTGCGGTGTCTCTGGGCGAAATAGTTGTGTTGGGAACGGGTGCTGTATGTGGCGAGAGCATCGTGGCGATGTGAAATCTGGTTTGGCCTTTTCGCCTGGCGATGCGGCCCGATTGCCCGGGCCGAAAAATTGATTTGGATTCCACGCCGCCACGAAGGTCTTCCCTCATACAGCACCCATGCCTAACACAACCGTCACGCCCCGAGATATCGCAATGGAGCACACGCTCAAAATGGTGCCATGACGATTGGTGCGCTAGGTGACGAGAACTGATTTGTGTCCTGCTGTTTCGCTGGCAGTTGGAAAAACGCCGAACAAAAAAGAGGAAACAGGAGTTCAGCAATAGTATGCGGAGGGGTATGTATGACCACGAAAGTGGGGGGGGGGTAACCGATAGGCGAAAGTTAACGACTGTCTACTTGCCACAGTTTTAGCGACAGCTAGTATGTCTTATCGCCTTTTCCATCAGTCTCCTTGAGACGAAAGTGGGGCCGATACATCCGAATTGCGAGACACCAGCACCCACCGCTTCAAGTACTATTGAGATGCACCTGCTCCCCCTTTCATGCATGCGCTCGCGTGTGGGTGAGTGGTGTTGCTGTCGGTCGCCTTTGTATTTTTTCCCCGTAGCGGCATTACGCACCGATGAAATTTCTAGTCCACCAGCATTGATGACGAGACCTAATCCAGGCCAACCTACAGCAGTACTTGTCATGAACACAGCCTTCAGCTTCGTGCATACTCGCAAGACACACGGCACAAGATTGGCGCTCGCCACTGCTGTACAAATCGAGTGTTCCTGCTGTGGGTGTTGTGCGCGAGTCTCTCTGTTACGGCATGATAATGCCGTGTCGCAAAATTAGGCACCACTCCTGTTGGCAGGTACTCCGAATCTGGAGACTAGACCCTGGTGTCCAATCTCCTCCCCGACCCTACTTGTACTAGTTTACGATCTAGGGAGCCAGACCTGTGTATCATGTGGACGAGTTTTGTCTCTCGAAACTCTGGGTTTTGTCGTTGGTCAGCCAGCTTTCGCGTAAGTGTTGATTAAAGCGGAACGCACACTCTCGGTATTCTGGGTTTTTACGTCCCGAAACAGCTGAAACTTTTTCGTTGATCAGCCAGTACACGGTGCGCCGTCGATGCAACTTACCACAAAATACACAAAAACTGACCTGTCACGTAATTTCCACAGTTAGCTTGGTATTGTGAGTCAGTCGTAATCAAGTGTGTGGTGTTTTAGGATTTTGCTTTCCTCGTGCCAATGTTACCTCCATTCCAACCCCTAGAAGGCAAGGGCTAACTTTGGTAGTGTCGAACAGAGCTGATTTGTCAAACGCCAGCTGTCCTGGATGTCCGTTCTCCCTTTCCATCTCACCCGGGGGGAGGTAGGGGCAGAGATTTCAGACAGACGCAGGGTTCACCACTGGGCATCTTTGTTATCAACATGGAAAGGTCGTCTCGATCGCAGCACCGTGGCACTGTACAACTCGATATCTTCGATTGATTCCGGAAAGTTTTGGACGTGGTTCATGTTGAGTATTTTGCGGTTGAGTGAAGCCCGCCGACATTGAGTCCAAATGACATTCACTGGATTTGATTGATATTTTCATTTTTTGAACTGAAGGAAATGATGGGTGATCCAACCGTTACCAAACGTCATGACCCATGGCGCCGTAACACGATTGCGTGTGTACAAACAGTGCCATGCCGTTCTACCCCCAGAGTTCTGATACCCCTCGCCTATGTGTCATTCGTGCCCTCGGTTGTCAGCTCCAACCAAGAGCCACCCAAGCGCCATCGCAGAACCTCCGCGTCAGGAACAAGGGAGCAATGCGGGGGCGGTGGTACGGCGGCAGCACATCAGACGGCGAGTTTGGTCGGAGTTTCAGCGATACTACGCGAATATATCAAGTTTATGCGTTTGGCGTGTGCATGGTTTGGTTAGGTTCGTTTGGTACGTCACTCACGAGCTGCCTACTGTCGGGACAGCTGATGATTGGTGATTGAGTGGTCATAAGGTGTTCGTTTGGTGGTTTGGTAGTTTCGGGAGGGTTGCTGCTGGGCAAATCTGTCAGTAGTGCACAGCTGGCGGTAGCATCGAGCACCGGTGGAACTAGCATTCACTGCTAACACACATACCGGGTCTGAGAGGAAATCGGCCAAGCTTGCAACTCTAGAGAGGCTACACCATCGTGCTCATGTTGGTGCCGACGGTCCGTACAAGCCGCTGTTGCAGATTTGGTTTTGAATCTGTCTGAGGTACGGCGAGAGGAAGGCATGCACAGTTTGTGCATTGCTTGTTTCATTGCTTTTAGCAGAGAGGCCGCCACTGAGCGCAGCCACTCACTTCGAGGCCATTGACTGCTGGATGCCAGCAACACGGGTCGAAGCATTCCCGTTTTATTCAAGAACCTTGTTTTGTATGGTGCACGTGGCTCATGCAACTGCACCAAAACGTGTTTGATACATACCGAGTTGGCCCGTCCAAGGCTCGCGTTGATCGCTCTGCCTGATGACCGACTCGAAACAGCGAACCCACTCCGCGTCTCGTTGCGGGCAGCCCAGCTTGAAGTTCATTGCTATTTGACCCAGTGTTGTTGCTGGTGGTGCGAACGGGAACAGGGTATGTTTCGAGGCAAGTGACGGAGGCAGGATCTCCCACCTTGTAATGCATGAAGCCAATATGTCCTAGTGCTTTTTGAATTGTCGGTGGGCGTCTGAAACCTTCCGTCTGAACCTTAAAGTCAGTGTCTTGTCGAGGAATCCGCGCTTGAACGGCGGACCGCTGAACAGACCGAAAACAGCTCAACACAAGGGCGGGCTGCCAGTCGGGGTGTTTGTCGGTGGCGATATCCCATGCGAAGCTTGTTCAATGAGCATCACGCCGTCTCCCGTGAGCTTGGACGTGAGTCGGGAACTTAGACTTGACGAAGAGCACGCACTGAGCATAGGCTTATTCTTTCCCCCGGCGAAAGCACAGCGTCTACATGACCGAGTTTCGACAACAGAATAATGGCAGGGGCATTCATGTTGTCGGGTGTTGCATTGGCTTTCGGTGCTGCGCCGTGACACGCGCTACTTGCTTGCTGAAACAACAGAATGACATCTGTTGAACACGGCAAGGGTTTTTTTGCTCGATCTTGTTCTGGACCGTACGTTTCTGCAGTCAACGCGTGCGACCACCAGACACAGTGGGCCGGGACGGTGCTGCCAGGAGGATGGCTGTTCAAGGCAACGGAGATTTGGTATGGCCGGCAGCAAGAAGGCGGAGTTCTGCTCTCAGCACGCGGAGCCGGATATGGTTAACGTCGTCACCAAACCGTGCGGCCACCCAGGTTGCACGAAGAAGCCGTCATATGGTAAATCCGGCACCAAGAAGGCGGAGTTCTGTTCTCAGCACGCGGAGCCGGACATGGTTAACGTCGTTCAGAAGAATTGCGGCCACCTAGGGTGCACGAAGCGGGCGTCATTCGGTAAACCCGGCATCAAGAAGGCGGAATTTTGCTCTCAGCACGCGGAGCCGGACATGGTTCACGTCTTCGTTCAAAAGAGGTGCGGTCATCCAGTGTGCATGAAGCACCCGGTATTTGGTAAAGTCGGCACCAAGAAGGCGGAGTTCTGCTTTCAGCACGCGGAGCCGAACATGGTAAACGTTCTTCAAAAGAGGTGCGGCCACCCAGAGTGTACGAAGCAGCCGTCATTGGGTAAAGCTGGCACGAAGAAGGCGGAGTTTTGCTCTCAGCACGCGGAGCCGGGCATGGTTAACGTCGTCAACGAGCGGTGCGGCCGCCCAGGGTGCACAAAGCGGGCGTCATTTGGTAAAGCTGGCAGTAAGAAGAGGGAGTTCTGCTCTCAGCACGCGAGGCAGGGAATGATCAACGTCGCCCACAAACGCTGCGGCCACCCAGGGTGCACGAAGCGGGCGTCATTGGGAAAAGACGGTAGCAACAAGAGTGAGTTCTGCTCTCAGCACGCGGAGCAGGGTATGGTGGGCGTCGTCAACAAGAAGTGCGGTCACCCAGGGTGCACGAAGCATCCGTCATTTGGTAATGCTGGCAGCAACAAGGTGAAGTTCTGCTCTCAACACGCGCAGCCGAACATGTTTATCGTTACCCGCAAGAAGTGCGGCCACCCAGACTGCACGAAGGGGGCTACCTTTGGTAAAGCCGGCGACAACAAGCGTGAGTTCTGCCCTGAACACGCGGAGCCGGACATGGTTAACGTCGTCCGAAAGACGTGCGGCCACCCAGACTGCACAAAGCGGGCTTCATTCGGGGCAGCCGGCAGCAAGAAGCGTGAGTTCTGTTCTCGGCATGCGAAGCACGGTATGGTGGGCGTTGTCCACGATATTGGCGGCCACCCAGGGTTAACCCAGAAATCGCGTCATGAAAAAGACGGCAGTAAGAGGGCGTAGCTCTGTCATCTGGGCACGCCGACGGAGGTAGGTATGCATAAGCCCAAAACCTCATACCGATATCCATATGGTTGTGGTTTGTATCGCGAATGTGTCAATTGTTTTTCAGGTTTGGGGAGTACATATGGGGGAACCGAAAATATATTCTGTGTTGTTCAATCTGAGTGTTCTTTCCACGGCGTCTTGTATTGAGGCGTGCTTACCAGCCGCTCATGGAACGCTCTCCATGAGGTGGCAGGCTGGCGGACGAAGAGTTTTGGGATTGAACGTGGTGTGTAGTGTGAGAAATGAGGGGTCCTTTCTTCGCGGACGTGCCTTGCTTCGTGTACAAAATATGTTTGCCGCCGTTGTAGGTTTGTTGGGGTTGTGGTCATGTTGTGCAGCATTGCCCGACGATAAGACCGATAGCATCATATCGCGCTTCGTTCAGTGCAAGTTCTGAGCATGACGAAGCTCGCCGAGCTTCGAGGGCAATAGCAGAGAAATCGGGGCAAGCCCAAAAACCAAATGCACTGCCCTGATACGGGAACTTGCTTCGCGTATGGCGGCTGAGGGCAGCAAATTGGAACGAGTATCCCGGAGGACAGGAAGGTGGACTCAAGCCGAAGAGCTTTCTACAGTAGGACTGGCGAGTGGTGTCGTCGACGCCATCGGGAGGCAATCGGGGGAAATCACGGCGTGGGGTACAAGCCAATTAACATAAAACTAACCGCATGCAAAAGCGCAGGTAGTGGCACTAGACTATGACCTTGAAGTTGTGGAAGAAAACATGTACCGTAATGCTCTTTGGTCCACCGGTGGAGTAACCTCGTTTTGCTCAACCAGGCAGATCTCTACCCACAGAGCTCCAGTCGACCTCCAACCAATTGCATCGTGTAGGTATTGACTACAGCCATCTGCAATGCTACCTGGAAGCTAAGTACGATCCGTGGCTGCAGAGATATGCTGAATAGGGGGGTTTCGCAGCATGTCAGGAAGCAGTATTCGTCTCGAACCTCCGTCCACGCAGCTCCAATTGGCTTCAATGCTTTTGCACCGTGTCCGCGCGGTCCATGCCGTTCTTCCAAGCTATCGGACATGCCCATCCGATATGTTCCCGCAGAGATATGGCCAACAGAGGGGGTTCCGCAGCATCTATGGGGGGGATAAATGTCAAGTGTCCCGCTATACCTCCCGTCATCAAGCTGAACCNTTACTTCCGTGCGTACGGATGACAGCTGCGTATGACTCAATTTATTTTCTGGTGCTTT